TGCTACCAGTAGGCCTGGCACAAGATGCGTGCAAGTGAGACAGGAACTTGCCTCCTGCTTAGGGTAAGCTCAGGGTCATTGTTGGCTTGGTCAGCAATGCAGTAAATGGAAGTACTTGGATGCTGCAGGTCAGTCAGTCAGTCAGTGACATTTTTCACAGGGAACATTAAAAGTACATGTTTGTCCCATACTCTTAGTATAAGAAAACAGAGGCAAACCTCAACTCCAGCTGCTGCCAGCAGCCACCGTATTGGTTCCATTCGGCCTCGTCCATTGAAGTAGTGCAGCTTGGGTTTCCCAGACATGTTTCCACGTGCCGGATAGTTTCTTGCTACTTGGAATAAAGAAATAGGTTTTGCAAAATAAAGATTCAGAATGCTGGGTTTAGGTCTCTAATTGGTCTCAAAATTGTCGTGTATGAAACTAAGGATTTATGGTTCAAGACCGTCCGCAAATTAATAAAGGAGGTAGAAGTTAGACTACACTGAGGGACCCCATTGTATCATCCCTCCTTGATGATATCTTTTATACATGCAGCTTAGTTAAGCAGAACTCTGTACTAAGAGCCATTGGCCCAGATCAGAGAACAAGCAAACCAAAACCATTGGAATCCAAAGTGCTCTGCTCTGACCAAAAGGCAGATTGTGCTTTCTCTTTATTTTGGCACTATCTCAACATACAGTTTACTGATTCATCAGATACACAATATTAACTCAGCAATTCCTGGGCTTTCAAGAGCTCCCTTTTTTCATCCTCCATGATAAAGGGGCAGGAAGGAATATTTTTCCCTCTTGTAAGCATTCAGTCTCTTTTATAACACTCCCTGCTCCAGTGAATTTTTAGACAAGCCGCCAAAGTCATAGAAATTAATTTTGTCTCTGATAACATCAGATTTGCCTTTACCACTGGCAGAGCCAAAGGACAGTGCCCTGTTTGGACAATTCTAACTTTGCTGGAATATAAAGTAGCAACAGTTTCTAGGCGGATCACCAGCCACCCCATTCAGAACCATGTGTGCACAGCAGCGGCAAACACGCAGACAGGGCCTGGTTTATACCACCTCCACAGTTATTAACACCGTGTCAATAATAAAGCTAAAGCATTACCTGCAGCTAAGGGGAAATGGCTAAAACCCACCATAGTCCCCTTTTAAATAACGTATCAGCTTCTCTACAGTAGGAAGAAGGAGATCAGAGGAAGCACTCCATACTTCTGAGGTCTACGTTTCTTTTTCTTAATTCTGTGCACCTAGAAAGCAGCTGCCTAATATTTTACCATTTCATGCATATAACCATGATAGTAAAGAAAGTACAAACACTTACTCTGTAAAACCCATTCCCTAACTTGATTTCAAGTACAAAAATTCCCTCTGCATCTCCAAAATCCAAAAAACTTACCTTGTGCACAATGTAACTCACTCTAAGCTCTCGGTAGCTTTGCCTGGAGATTATGTAGGTCTGGAGCCACTCCCACAAAGGGAATTGCAAATGGTTCTCTGGGAATGGAAATCTCCTATCTTTTAAGGAAATAAACCCGATTACATCTGTATAGTTACTTCTCACCTACAGAAAATAAATTCCTGACTAATGCTGACAATGCTGACAAATGGAAGACAGATGAGAGATCATGATCAGTGGAAGCATCTGTGCCAGCACAAAATGCTAAGCTTCCAATTTTCACTGCTTGGCAACCTGTTAGTTAAAAACAATTGTGATGGCTGAAAAGCTCACCCAGTTTAAAAGAATACTGTTGTCCCAGTCAGACTTTCAGCTAATCTTTGATGGGTTTTTACTTTTAACCAATTGCTGCTTTACATAAGTCACATCAACTAATTCTTCTGGAATCCTTCATAAGCTTCTATCCCCTGCTTAGGCATGGGGATATGCCTTCAGGACATTTCCACAGGATTTCATTCCTGGACATAGAAGGGGTTTTTCTTTTCTTTCTCTGTCCAAAATATGTCCCAGAATTTGACTTGGTGAAAATGCTCACCAAAGGCAATGGTAGGAGACAGTGAATGAAGTACAGCATGAGAACGCAAACTGCCCTCTGCCCTCCTGATGCTTTTTGCTGACAACTGTATTGATTTCAAAAAGTCAATGCAGCATAAACTCCCATGAACCCTCCTGCCTATCTAGCTGGTTAATACTGTTGCAGCCATCACCTGCAGTCAAGGTCAACATCCATATAAAATTCTGCTGAATTGCCCTGAGTGTAATTGCAAGCTGCAATATTTTTCCTGTGTTACACGCGCACCTTGTATCAATTGTAGTGTATCGAATAGAAAACCCCAAGTTGTGTATAGTACGAGGGGCTCTCTCCTTCAGGTTCTTCCTGTTCATGCACTTTGCTGCTCTGTAGCTGAAATGATCCTCACCCCATCAGTCTCCACCACTGGTACCTGAGAGACCAATGTATTCCATGGCTTGACATAAAAAGAAGCTTAACAATTTATTGAGAACTAGAACCACAGAAGGACAAGGCATCCAAACGGTCACCACTGCAATGGTCTATCTTTCTGTCTTATTTCCCTCTGTCCCCTTCTTACAGTTGGGGAGGTTCTTCTCTCCAGCCTCTGAAAGCCTGCAGGGTGTCTGAGTCACCTATGCAGAGGTGTCCATGCCACTGTGCATGTTCCATGGCACCTGCTGGCTTCCAGCTGCTGCTCCAGAGTGGCCGGCTCTGGGTCCTGCGCTGTGGCACCATGGGCAGCCCTAGTCCTCGGGGAGTCACAGAGAGCCCCAGGCCTCTCTGCTCTGGGCAGCAGAACCCCACTCCTGCCATTGCTATAGAAGCCCAAAGCCGCACATATTTTGTTTTCTGTTAACATCCAACTCAAAATAATTTGTTCATATTTTATAAGGAAACAGAACTCTGCACAGGAATGTTGTATTTGCTTGCTTGAGGAATAACTGCTTTCCTCTCTGGGCCTCATGGAGCGCTGAATTTTGCCATTAACAAAGTTTGCTTGAAGAGGAGCAGATCAAACTACACTGATGGAAACAGTGTTTCCTGCAGTTTTGCACTGAAATGACTTGGGATGCAGCAGCTCGGATAATGTGAAAGAATGAAGCTTGCCCTGCACAGACCTGTGCACCAAGGGGCATCTGGTAGCATTCCACAAACCCAAACTTACCCTTAGGTAGCTTGGCTGGATTTAGAATTTGCAGGCCTGGCCATAATGAACTCTAGAAGATAACCCAGGTGTAATGACTACTCCTATAAGGACCTACAAGGACATCCACTGTCTCAGAGGACTGCAAGGTAAGGAGACTTGAGTTCAAGCATGAAAGTTATTGACAGTGTAGACAACTTGGGAAAACTCATCTCACCTAACTAGGTAGACACCTACATTAATCAGACAAAACGCATCCCTAAACCCTACAACCAGGGCTGATGGAAAAGCCATCTCGGCCTTGTCCCTGGAGTCTTGTGGAGTCTGTGTCTGTTGCAAAATGTGGAATATGTAAACACTTTCCAACAAAGGACGTTCTCTGATGTTTGATCCCTTTCAAGCCTAATCAACAGGAAAGGAAATTTAATCCATGAAACAGGTGGCAGCTAAGAAGCCACCTCTAAGTGAAAGAAAAATTACTTGTTGGTAGAATGGCCTTGTTAAGGTTTAGGGCCCAGCAGGTTTCAGTAATCTCAGACCTATGCAGGGTGTTAGCAAAGCTTGGAAAGAAGGATGTTCTGCTCATAGTGGATACAAAGAATGCAGAATTTATGGACCACAAGGACATTTGGCAGAACTCCCGAGATAAGGAAGAAACTAATAAAGACAACTCAGCAAATGAGCTGAATCAGCTCCAACTGGGTAAAAGGTAATTCTCGCAGGGGGAGATCGCGACCACCAACTCATGGTGTCCTGAGCCAAGAAACCCACTGACCCAAAAGAAGAGGGAGACTGAACATTTGGACTAGTTAGCAAGAGAAGTGAGGGAATCAGTAACCGTAGAAGATAATGATTAATAAGTAGTTTCAGAGACTCACCAATTTGAGTTCAGGCTCGGCAACCCGACCCCAAGAAAACAACGCAATCCTTTACACACTGAAAAGTCACACGGGGGCACGTCACAACAGAGCACGTGACCTGCCCAACCAATCACCGTCGAGCCCGTCCGGTGGCCATGCTTGCTCGAGCAATTCCTGGGGGTTCCTTCTGCAGAAACTACATCTCCCGTCAGCCTTTGCAGCAGCTTTACTGCACAGCATAACCCTTTCAACCACAAGCAAGAGCACTACGTCACTTGTACTCAAAGAACATTAATGCCTTTGTTTGCTAAAGTGTGTAAATAGTAAAAAGTCTTGACAGTGGGAGTACTTGCTTTGTGGAATACCAGCGAGCACCCAGGCTTGCACAGCTCTGAAATAAATGATCCAGGTCTCTCTCGATCATGTAATTATTGGCCAGTTGCACACCGGGTAACAAATCCAGTTTTTCTGAGCAGCATTTCCCCTGGGCTGGTTCTGAGGTAGCTGCACCTCAGGGACATGGCCGGGTCAGGAGCAGGCAGGGGGCAGGCTTGGAGGCCCCCGAGGAGGCAGTGGGGTCACAGGGATGTTGTGACTGGGGAGAGGCCGGGGCTGCAGCCCCATGAGTGGGTTGCCAGGTGGTTGGTGTGCTGGGGGCTCTGGCTCTGCGTGTCCCAAGGGGGTCTGTGCTCAGGATCCTGGAACTGCCAGGCCAGGCCTGTAGACTGCACAGCACGGAGTCGGCAGCCACGCCCCAAGTTACTGCCTTGAATTTCTGACAATGCACAGCAGCTGCAAGGGCTGGCTGAAAGCCTCAGTGAGGAGGGAGAGAAATTGCTCGTGCAACACCTCTGTTTCATACATGCTTTCCTGCAGAAAAAAGCTGGGGTTTATTCCTTTTTTATTCCTTTTTTGATAATAAGGACTGATGGCAGATGCATGGCATTTCTTTTAAAGACACAAGTTTTAAACTTCACAGTTAGTGACAAGCACACTCAATCAAGTCTGCAAACTGCTTTTAGCTGCTACAATACACCTTTAGTTAAAGGAAATATTGGTGAAGCTGTAGTATGTCCAGTCACAAAACAGAGGTGCAATAGGATCTCTGGTCCCAGCATCCTCCAAGTGAAGCTCAGGGGAAAGCCAAATCCTAACCTGTCATCCCTATCTAACCAGAACCTGCATGCTTTTCCTGGCATTTCCCAGAACAAATACATCACCCACTGTTTGGGCTAAACTTTCATCATTTTCCAGCAGTTCTTAGGAATGCCAGAACCAGAGAGCCCTTAGGCATGTAAGTAGCATCAAGAAGACAATTAACATCCTGGGCGTGAGTGTCAACAGTAAGACTTTA